ATATATATATATATATATATATATATATATATATATATAGCTAGCATATATATGTAAATATATATGCTCTATCTGGCATCATATAAGAATTCAGATGTGGACCCTGTCCAGAACAGCCTCTGAGGAGGTATTTATTGGAGAACTTCGCCCATTCTCTGATGTAGTTTACTAAGAACCAGTCTCATAGCAGAAGGGTTTTAATCCGTATTTAAACTTCTGAAGTCTCATGTCTGTCACATGTGAAGACGAGTGACAGAAATGAACCACGAGCTGCGTTATCTGCTCGCTTTAATCCTCCTGTCAGCTCTGAATTCACAGAGCTCAGGAGGTGTCCTTGAAGCCAGCTCCAACATATGGTTCATGGGCAGAGGTAAGATAGTGTATTGGGAGACGGTTTGGCTTGTTTTGGGCTTCTTTTTCTCAGCCATAATAATAAAGACTTCCATAACCTTTGAGCAAAAATTCCCTGACAGGACCAGAGCTCATTTGAAATGGACTGAGGAAACGTCCTGAACCGTTCTGTAGGGGTCCAAATTTGAAGGTCTGTTTGGAATTAAATATTAAAGAGAAGAGGGACTGTCCAGCCTGGTATCAGCTCATAATTCAAGAGCCTGCCACTCTGATGGTATGGGGGTGCATTAATGCAGCTTATGTGAAATGTTATTGTAGATGGTTATAAAAGTCCAGTTAAAGTTCTGTTAGGCATTAGAGAAGGAGGTTGATAGATGCTGGAGCTGCATCAACAAATCTGTAATAAATAATGACCTGGCAATCAATGGATTTAACATCTACCGCTGTGATCGTCAAAAAAGGGGTGGGGGGGGGAGTCGCTGTTTACATCAGAGATTCTCTGGTTGCTAGTCTTGTGTCTTCTAAAACAGTTCCTAACCAGTTTGAAGCCTTAGCTGTAAACATCACTTTGAATGGAGGCCAGATTTTATCTGTAGTGTGCTGTTATCGTCCCCCCTCAGCAACACCTGAGGCTCTGTCCTCCCTGATGGAATTCCTTGATAATTTAAAATTCAGAGAGATCTTTTTAGCAGGAGATTTCAACATTGTAAGTCGACCCCCCTCTGTGATAAATTCAAGGAATGTTGCCCGTCTCTCAATCTAACCCAACTGATCAACTCTCCGAAGAGATTATACAAAAAACATCCTGAAAAGTCCTCCATCTTAGACCTGTTTCCAACTAATATCCTTTCAGCCATCCTATTTGTAAAAAAAAAAAAAAACCCTGCAGTATTACTTTTTATAACTGTTTATTGTTGTTGCTGTTGTCCATTGTTGTCATCTTTCTTTGTTGAAATCAGTGTAGTGAACTAGGCCTGAAGGTCAAATCCTGACCTTAAGGACTTTATGGGACAGAAACTGTCATTTCATTGATTTGAATCCAGAAATACAGGTTGACCCATCCTGAGACTTTCTTTCTTGAAAGTTCAAGTGAAAGAACACTCTCTTTTCTATTATCATTACTATTTTACAAATGTTTGATAATCAAAGTGTTTTTAGTTCAAACCATTTTAGATGCTGCAGTGAACTAATCATTTTAATTAACTGTGAAACAGTAATAATGATTTTTAATCCTCATGCAAAGTTAGAATTCATGTTAAGGTCTGTTACAGAGTAATTATGCATTTTCTGATTTTCTGTCTTTGAATGAGCAGGGTAAGTTGGTCCAAGGTTGGAGTCAAACGCAGACAAGTGTTGGAACGAACTGTCTTGTTTTTAAATCCTCTCAGACGTAAATAGAGAAGCTGGCACCTGTTTTCCGCCAACTCGTCCAAACATTTCTCTCTCTGTCTCTAAAAACATTTTCAATCTGTTCCATAACATTCTTGCTGTTTTTCTGACTCCTAGTGACCTCTTACGTCACAAAAACACACCCCTGTCTGGTCGATATTGACCAATCAGAAACTCCCAAATGAACCGGAAATAGAGCCCTTTAAAATGTCGGTACTTCCTAGTTCAAACCAGTCGCTTCAGGCTCCGGCTTCAGTCGTTGCAGCTCCAGTGCTGGGAAACAGGAAAATCCTGACATGACCACAGAGCTCTTCCGAGTCTTATGGGATTATAACATCTTCCACCTCTGGGTGGAACTCTGACGGACTCCACTCATGTGAAGTCCACTCGTGAGGTGAATTTGTGTCGAACAAGTACTGTCACTACTTCGGACGATTCACAGCTGTTCCTACGGAGACGCTGAAAGGGTGCGTTAAATGGAATTTCGCCAGGAGACATCTCCAGGTAAAAGAGATTTCTATCACCTAAGTGTACTGGGGAAGAAGCTGGGAAAACCCGGAGTGCCGTTCTGATGCTGACACAAACATTCTCCCTCATCCATCTTTTTCTCCCTCTAAACTTCATCTTTCCATCTTTAAAATTCTTCTATCAAGTAGAAATTAATCCAGATATTTTTAGAAATGTCTGTGTAAAGTTTCCAACCACCGCCGTGTGGTTAATCAAAATTGTACAGCTTGCTAAAATTAGCCATGTTGTTATTTTCCATATTTTGTCAATTAATGTAAATGTGTGATGTGTTAAACTTTGATTCTGTTAATAAATGACCCACTGTCGTTGGTGAGTCAAAGATAATTAACATCTCACGTTACATTTCTAAAATCAGATGCACGTCATTATACAGTCCAGAAAAATGAAAGAATCCGTTTAATTTATGAATATATCTCATGCATATGTTCATACTACATCAGGTCTCTCTTGTAAATGAGTCCTCGAGGCTCAATGGGATTTACCTGTCTAAATAAAGGTTGATTGAATATGCCTCACAAATTCCCTGGTACAGGTCCAGATGAACTTCCACCTTATTTCTTAAGGCTGGCTGCTCATATCATCACAGTCCCTGTGACCCACATCTTCAATCTCTCCATGAGACAAAACTCCATCCAGACACTTGAAAACAGCCTTTGTTCTTCTTTGCTGAAGGGAGGAGACCCCACCTCACTGAACAACTATGGACCAATCTCTAAACTCTGCATTTTAGCCAAGGTTCTAGAAAAACTGATAAACTCTCAAATCAAAAATGACCTGGACTCATTTAACATCTTACCTCCACATCAATCTGGTTTCAGGAAACAACACAGCACAACCACTGCTTCACTGAAGGTTCTTAATGACGTTGTTGAAGCACTGGATGCTAAGGATTATTGTGCTGCACTTTTCTTAGACCTGTCTAAAGATTCTGACACTGTGGATCAGAACATCTTCGTGTCATAAACTCTCAGAAATCGGTTTCTCAGAACACACTATTGGTTGGTTCTCTATCTTTCAGACCGGAGGCAATGTGTTCAACATAATGGTACTTCCTCCAGTTATTTAACAGTCAACAATGGTGTACCACAAGGCTCAGTCTTAGGATCCACCCTCTTTACAATCTACATACATAATGTAGGTAAAAACATCCCTAATGCATCCATAAATTTCTATGCTGATGACACAGTTGTTTATTGTCGAGCTAAAACTGTTGCTAAGGCTTTCCAGCTTTTGAAATCTGCATTCAACATCATCCAGACAGATTTGTTCCACCTCAAACTTGTCCTAAATGCCGACAAAACCAAAGGGATGCTTTTTTTCAAATAGGAAGTTGGTCCCAGCAGTTTTTCCTCTGATTTTATCCTCAAATGGTGTCCCCGTTGAGTTTGTTGATTCCTATAATTATTTGAGTATCTTGGTCGACTCACATCTCTCTTTTAAGCTCCACCTGTAAAACTTGGTAAAGAAACTGAAAGTTAAACTGGGTTTCTTTTTCAGAAACAGATCCTGTCTAACCCTGAATGTTAGGAAACACCTTGTATCTGTGACTTTCCTTCCCTCCATTGATTACGGTGACATTATTTACATGAACGCTCCTACAAGAACCCTGCAGATGTTGGATGCTGCAGATGTTGGCTGCTGCAGATGTTGGATGCTGCAGATGTTGGATGCTGCAGATGTTGGATGCTGTCTATCATGGTGCACTAAGATTCATAACTGGCTGTAACTACCGTACCCACCACTGCACCCAGTATTCACCGGTTAATTGGTCACCATTAACTTCACACAGACTCTCCCACTGGTACATTTTCATCTTTAAATCACTTCCTGGTCTGCTGCCTTCATACATCTCCTCCTACATGTCTCTGTGTGAGAGCAGCTACAGCGTGCGCTCTCAGGACATCATTACCTGCGGTGTTCCCTCAGTGAGGACTGAACTAGACAAAAGGACCTTCTCCTACTCCGCTCCTGTTTCCTGGAATATCTTGTAAAAAGATCTGAAGCTCTCGACCTTTGACCTCTCTAAGTGGCTTTAAGAATCTGTTGGACTCCTGGCAGGGACCAACACAGACATGTTCCTGTTTTTAGTTTTCTACATTCGCCTTAGAATCTAGCTGTTTTTTATTACTTTTTTAGCCATCCTATTTGTTTAAAAAAAAAAACCTGCAGTATGACTTTTTCTAACTGTTTATTGTTGTCGCTGTTGTCCATTGTTGTCATCATTCTTTGTTAAATCAGGTCTCTCTTGTAAATGAGTCCTCGAGGCTCAATGGGATTACCTGTCTAAATAAAGGTTGAATGAATGAATGAATCAGAACATTTCAGCTCAATGGTTTTGGTTTTACTTGATTTTATTTCATAAACATTGAAAACGCAGCACTGCATGGAACAGTAAGCTACAGTTATAGTTGTCCGACAGTTCGTACATGTATCACGGTTCTGATCCGTCACCTGCAGCTGGACAGGACGTTCCAGACACGCTTGTTTAGAAGAAAATCTTTAGAAACTTTAATCCGTTTCTTTGTTTTCATTTCTCAGGTGAAGAATCGTCTCTGGGCAGCCTGAAGGGGGCGATCTCCTTCACCAACGTCTCTGCGATGGTTCTGTTGTTAGCAGCTATTATTCTCCTGGACAACAGGTCCGGTTCTCCTCCTGAACAAACAAATACGGTTCAGAGACGGGCAGCAGCCGGTAAGAACAGATGCTGCAAATTGTCCTCACCGTCCACGTCCATCAGAACTCCTCCAGCCTCCAACACCAGCAGCGACCCGGCAGCAATGTCCCATACGTGGATCCCCACCTCATAGTAGGCATCAACGCAACCCGACGCAACCAAACACATGTTGATGGCTGCGGTTCCTGCGCCACGCACCCTGCAACACACATGTCCCTCAGAAACAGGAAGTGCACGGCAACAGCTGTCAGCATACACACAGTCAGCAACAACAAATACACAGTCAGCAACAACAAATACACAGTCAGCAACAACAAATACACAGTCAGCAACAACAAGTTCACAGTCAGCAACAACAAATACACATTCAGTAACAACGAGAACACAATCAGCAACAACAAATACACATTCAGCAACAACGAGAACACAGTCAGCAACAACAAATACACATTCAGCAACAACGAGAACACAGTCAGCAACAACGAGTACACAGTCAGCAACAACGAGAACACAGTCAGCAACAACGAGTACACAGTCAGCAACAACAAATGCACAGTCAGCAACAACAA